AACTTGTAATCCTCTTGCCTTAGCCTCCCAAGTATCTGGGATGACACACGTGTGCCACTGCCTCCAGCTGGGGTTTTCTATTTCTTAAAAAAAAAAAAAAAAACTTTGGGATTTTGATAGGTATCGAGAGGAATCTAAATTTTTTTTGGTTGTAATAGCTGAACCTCTGAATCGGTAGGTTCTGCATCTGCAGAATCAACCAACCATAGACTAAAAATATAGTCAGGCCTATGACAGTTGTGTTTATAAAAACATTTACAAACATCTTCATGATTCCCTCCACAATACAGTGTGACAACGACTTACACAGCCTTGCATTGATAAGTCATAAGGAATCTGGAGGTGATTTTAAGAACTCAGGAGGATGTGTGCAGGCTCTGCCTTTCAGGTAAGAACATCCACAGAGTTTGGGATCCATGGGGATCTTGGAACCCATTCCCTACAGACACCGAGGACGACCATATTGAGGTTTCATAGTTCTCAGTGAGCAAGTGAAAAAGGAGTTCTAAAACAAGCCATGATCGTGAGCCCGCTGGATATCCTTGACTAGGATTTCTTCTACCTTTCAATGTCTGAGATTCTCCAATATTTAATGTAGCCTTGAAGCTAACTAAATCTATTGAGCTCTCGGCCAGAAAAGCACAATAGATTCAATCAAACATTCATTTATTGAAACCTTTTGATATTTCAGGCTGTTAAAAAACACATTTCACTGTAACAGGAACATTCTCCCTTGAGTTGCTCCTTCAATGAATCACTTTTCTCAAACGATTTTACTTCTGGGTGGAACACAGTGCTGGTCACCCAATAACGGATTTTAGTCTGAAACCCAGAGAATCGGCTCGTTTGACTAACTTCCAAATGCCACTTGGTTTTCTTATTTTTCTATTCTTCTTTATATAGAACAATTTAAATAGTGCACATGACTACACAGACCCCAAAAGAATTTGGTCACTGTATCTGGGATCATAAATTTCAGATTAAGTCTCCAACTTACGACGTAACCTCCCTCTGCTCCTAATTCTGTCTCTTGGTCACAGCACGGCATGGTTATTCACCAACAGCCAGTGCATCCCACAAACACTTACGGGTGTTACTCTGCCCTGGGAGCTCAACCAGATGCTGAGTGTCCCTGATCAAGCAGAGATGTCTTGAGGTACCCCATTAAAATGAGAAAAACGCTCAAATAAAATGGCCTGTGGAGAGCAGGTCAGTGGAAGTCATTCTTTATCCACAGAGACTCTCTTCCAGTTCCATTTACTGAATCCATGCAGACACCCTGACCTAAGGCTCACCTTGTAAGAATGTATATTATATTCTGAAAACTTGTCATGCTCCAATCAGAAGCAAGTCCAATTTTTAATTCTTTTAAGAAAGGGAAAAACACAACAAAGAAGAAATGCCATCGCGCTGGGAAAAACCCAAACCCAAGAAAAAAGAAACACTAACCCGCAGCCGTCCTGACGGAGCTGCTGATTCACTGGCACCTGGACAGTGCAGCCACCCTGCTGCCGGGGAAATAAGAATGTTTATGGTTTATTTTCTTTGGGTTAATAGTTCTCCCCTCATGTGCATTCTGTTTTTAAGAAACAATGATGAAAACAGAGCCCAAATCCAGCAAATTTACCTTTATATGGTAACAGCACCCGTGTTATTTGGTCTAGTGCACTTGGAAGGATGTGAAAGCTGGTTTCAATGATAAGATGGCCATAAAGACAAAAATCTTTTCAAGTCAGGAAAAAAGTTCTTTCAAAAATAAAGTGTTTAATTGCAATCAGGATGGATTTGTCTGAAATCCATCAGAAGCGTCCACTCCTGAGTTCTGCACGTGTGTGGATCACCTGCATAAACAGGTGATTCCAGAGCCGGGCCTGTAATCCCAGCTACTGAGGCGCACACCTGTAATCCCAGCTACTGGGGAGGCTGAGGCAGGAGGAACCCAAGTTCCAGGCCAGCCTCAGCCACTTAGTGAGACCCTGCCTTAAAATCATAAAAAGGGCTGGGGATGTAGCTCAGGGTAGAGCCCTTGAGCAGCAGGTGTGAGGCCCTGGGTTAAATCTCCAGCACTGCAAACAAAACACTCGTGATTCCAGGAGAAAAATAAAGCCAAATAGGACACTGATATTGTAACCATTTGATTTTGCCCACATTTTATGTCTAATTGATGATCTTTCTGTGTGTGTATGCATGTGTGTGTATTTTACAATTTCAGACATTACTGATAAAATGATTGTCTAAAAGTCACCATGACTAGGAATTATCTACAAGGTGAAGTCTGCTAAATTGCTGCTGCTACTAGAACTTCCGCTGAGACAATTTTTGGTATGAATTTGGGTTAGATACAACCCCCAGGTTATTTAAAAAATGAAAACCAACAAGGACTCACCCCGTTGGCAAGTTAAAAACTCCTTAGGTTGTGGTTAGAAAAGGTTGAAACAGGCTTAAGATTGTGAGGTTTCTTGGGCTGGGGTTGTGGCTCAGAGGTAGAGCGCTCGCCTAGCATGCATGAGGCACTGGGTTCCATCCTCAGCACCATATAAAAATGAAATAAAGATATTGTGTCCACCTAAAACTAAAAAATAAATATTAAAAAAAAAGATTGTGAGGTTTCTTGCAAGAATTCTTGTGAGTATAAATTTGGGATAAACTGGTTTGAAGAACTTCTCAGATACCAAAGTTTTTGCAAGTTCAAGTTCCTCGTGTGAAACAGGGTAGTATTCGCATATAAGCCACAGCCCCCCATCTACTTTGAATCCTCTCTAGATTACTTAAAATTCCTAACACAATGCAAATGCTATGTAAATAGCTGTCACAGAGCACTGCTTAGGGGCGGTGACAAGGAAAAAGGTCTGCACATCACACATTCATGGGAGCCATTGGGGGGACTATTTTCAATCACTCACAGAGTGACACGAAGGGCTGGAGGTCATACATGTGGTTTCTCACATCAAACAGCAAGATTTACTTGTTTATAATATAAAAATTTTAGAGCTCTTAAAAAGTATGAGAAAACTAGGAAAGACAATTTCAAAATTTCCAAATTGTGACTGAACCCAGGGCATGCCTGCAATCCCAGAGGCTCGGGAGGCTGAGGCAGGAGGATCATGAGTTCAAACCAGTCTCAGCAATTTAGCGAGGCCCTCAGCAACTCAGTGAGACCCGGTCTCTAATAAAATACCAAAAAGGGCTGTGGCTGTGGCTTGGTGGGTAAGTGCCCCTGGGTTCAATCCTGGTACAAAAAAAGGAAACAGCATTTATAAATTAAAATGACCCCCAAAGACACAAAATTCAGGATGGTGACCCCCCCCCTTGCTCCACCACAGGGAGGGGTGTCATCTGTAGGCAGGTTTACTTGGAGAACCTGTCTCCTCCTACCACTCCACCTCCACTGTCAGCTGACCTTCCCGCACAGCTTGGATGGCCGTTCCTCTGCTGGGAGCCTGCAGGGAACACACCCGTGGGAAGGCAAGCTCCTGCACTGACCCACACTCGGCACTATGGCGCCACCAGCCCAACTTCTGCCAACCACACAGGATGGCCTTCTGCTTCCTAGCGTGGCCCAACCTCCTGACGCAGCTCTCTTGCTCATTCTGTTCCCTCTGGCCCCAATTCCCTTCTTTTCCAGTTAAAATCAACGCCACAGCTCCTCACTGATGTCACCTCCTCTGGAGATCTTGGATTTCACTTGGTGTGATCCTGTCTCCTTGGAGACCTCAGAACACTGGCAAGCACTTCCCAGAGTGTTAGCATTCCACCTTACATCACCATGGATGGCCATCCCTGGGACGCGGAAGAGTCATGCTCTAACTGCGAACAACTGGCACGGTGCCTCATGCATTGTAGGGCTCAGGTGTGGACTGAGTTAAACTGACTAGTTCCACTCCAGGAAGACAGTAGTTTGAGTGCACAGACATAAAGAAGGGGCAGTGAGGTATTTTTCAGAAGAAGATCAGAACATGAGAAACACAGAACATCGGCAGAGATCCATTACTTCTGTGGGATTAAGACCTACGGCTTATTTAGTGAGGTGTTATGGTGCAACTTGCAAGGCTGAGGCAGGAGGATCCTAAGTTTGAGGCCAGTCTCAGTAAATTAGAGACACCCTGTCTCAATTAAAAAAAGGGGGGTAGGGTGGGGTGGGGCTGTGGCTCAGTGGTAAAGCACCTCTGAGTGTAATCCCCAGTACAAAAGATTAAAAAAAAAAAAAGACCTATGGGCTTTTGAGGTTATGTGGAAAAATACACACACACTCCCACATATAACCTCTTTCCAGGTAAATAATAAATGAACTAAAGGAGAGTAATTTTTAAAGAAACAAACTGAGGCCAGGCGTGGTGGTACACACCTGTAATCCCAGCGCTCAGGAGGCTGAGGCAGGAGGATCACAAGTTCAAAGCCAGCCTCAGCAATGGTGAGGCCCTAATCAACTCAGTGAGATCCTGTCTCTAAATAAAACATCAAAAAATAAGTATGGGGACGTGGCTCAATGCCCCTGAGTTCAATCCCCAGTACCCCCCACCAAAAAAAACCAAAACTGAATCATTTTTCCCCATATGAGTCATCAAAAGTAATAACAAAAAAATGTTTAACAATGATGCTACAATGAAATCCTAAATAGTCCTAATTGGCTGTATGTAACTAGCCCCAGGAAAAAGTGGAATTCCTTCTTTTATGAGTACTCCCCTGGAATAGGAAGATGAAAATCTTGAGCTTTTCCTTAATTACAGTCTCCAAAAAAGAAAGAATAAACGAATGAGTAGATTGAATAAGACTTATTTGAAGTCCACAAAAGCTAGTGCTTCTCACAATATTTGGGGGAAGGGACTGGTTTTTAAATATTTCCTATCTATCTGGTGCAACCTGTACTCTTTTATAATACAACACGAAGGCCTAAAGTCTGACATGCTTTCTGTTGAATTTGTCTCAGATCAATAACATGTGCTTCCCCCAAACCCATGTTCTCCAGGCCAGAAGTTCAGGGTGGGTAGGATGCTGCCTACCTTCTGCTCCTGGACTTCAAACACGGCTTCATGGACACTGCAAGCAAAAAGTGAGGTAGGCAGGTCACTTAGATCCATCATCTCTTCCAAGTCATCTTCATTTTCACCAAAAACCATCTCTTCCTCCTCTTCCTGGTCACTGCTACAGAGGTCTGATTGGCTGTCATTCCAAGATTTCATAGTGTCCCTTAGCATCATCCCCTAAAAGCAGGTCTTTTCTGTTTTTCAAGTTCTTAGGATATCAATAGGGCACCTACAGGTAAAAAAGAAGAAAACAACACCGAGGTAAAACTCTGAATGCCACCTAAGGTTCCAATCAATTGGCCTCAAGACAGCAGTTCATCAGGTGCAGCCATTCTATCCGGGAAAGAGCCATCAGCCTTCAAACCAACGTCCGCCAGCCCTCACAGGTGAATTCTATGTGTACTGATTTGATTTGCTTAGCATGTTTCACAGGGCAATGACAGATCTGGAAAAAACCAAGAGTTTTCCCATGACATTGGGAAAAGAAGGATCATATCAACATGTTCCCTGGCTGACAAGCAGCGGGAAGAAAAAAAATGTGAACGAGCACTGCCTGCACATATTTGTTTTGTATTTTAGCTCTAAAACATTGAAAGAGGCACAGCAGAATCAAACCCACGCAAGCCGCTCGCCATCTGTGCCCTGAAGTACTGTCTGATGCGCTGCTTCGCCTTAACGGGGTTGATTTTTGAGGTATTCTCTCAAGACCTCAGTTACTCAGAACCAAAAGTCCTCTATGAAGTCAGTCTTTGTAAATATGTCTTGGAAATACTTACGGTGGCAAAGTTTAACATAAAAGACAATCGAAAAGACGTCCTTTTTCTGAACTTTTATTAAACATCAAGAATTTAAGTTAAAGACCTGGAGCCAACAGGGTCCCTCTGTTAAACACCAGAACGGAAGCTGTGCTGTACGTGTGTGTTACATAGGTCCCCCCAACACCCCCTATTCCAAGATCAGCATACCACTTAAGAATGAGTGCCTGAGGCCCAGGAACACTAAGTGATCATGGGTAAGGCCACCTCAACAGCTCCTGAGATTTTTCTCTTTTATTTGCAGAATGATCATCAAAGGATAAAATAGGGGTTTTCCCCCTTTATTCTGATATTAATCAAGACTAATTCTAAAAAGTAAAATCTTCACTCATTCTCTGCTGCTTGGTACTGGGGGACATTCGATGAATGGGCATGGTTCTTATCCTCATGGAGCCCCGGGCCCAAGCAAGAATGTCCCCTCCTGGGTGCCAGTCATCCTCAGGGCTCCTCCTACAGCACCCCGTCCCCTGGCCTGTCTGCTCAAGCCCTCCTCCTGCACCTGCTCCTCCTCCTCCTCGGCAGACGCAGGTGCTCAACATCCCCACCTCCGGACTCTCTCTCCCCCTTCTACCTGGCTGCCCTTCGCCTTTCCTACCAACTTCCTGGAAAGAGCCGTCCCTATTTGCCTCCTTCACTCCCTCACCACCTGTCGCGCTCCAGTTCGGTGCGGCTGGGCGCCCGCCACTATCTTTTAGCTCCCACTGTCCTCATGACGGACAGCAGCAAGTTCTAAGAGGACGAGGATTTCAGGTCTCAGCTGTGTCTGCCGCACACGACCTCGCTGCCCACCCTGTCCACTCTCAGAGCTCCTCAGGCCCACCGTCTGCTCCTCACCCACCGCCTCCGCACTGGCCCCGCCTCCGCCCTTCACACCTGACCTGCGCGGGCCCCGCCCACTCCCCCTGCTGCTCCTCCTCCTCGTCTTCCCGGGTGGTCTGACCACCGTCGAGCTTCACCCACCAGCCTTCTCAGCTGAGTTTCCCTGTGGTCCGCGGGGTGCCCCGGCGCTCTCTCTCATTTCACCTGACTCTTGAGCCAGGAAGGACAGCACCATGCCTCTTTCTTCCCAAATGAACGATGGCTTTCCTGCCCATTTCCTTCCATTATGCCACACCCGTCTGTGCTCTTCTCCTTGACCAACCCCCTCTCTCAGGCATGTGCAGGCAGGGCCCTGCCCTTGTTCCAAGGGCTCCTTGCTGCTATGTGACTCCTCTGGCCCCAAGTCTCCTCTTCAGCTGATGTGTCCTCCTATTCTCATTGAGACCCTTCTCTATGGCCTTCATTTAGGTAGAGGATATTTCCCATTTCCCCTCTCCGTGTTCGTCACACCTCCTCTGAGCTCCTTTCTCTCAAATATTCCATATTTTCATGTTGGAGAGTCGGGATCATGCAGTGGTCATAGACTGACCAAGGCTGTGGGAGAAGCAAGGGCAGAATCTTGCTTGCCCACCAGGCGACAGAGGTGAACAGGGTAGAAAAAGGTGTAAGAGACTCTGAGCTGCTCCTCGGCCCCTCTTGCCTATATGCACTGGAAACTTCCAAATGTCTGTGCCCAGACTCAGGCCCTTCTCCTGAGTTCTAGGCTGGTATGTTTGGCTTTCCACTGAACAGATATCTATCTGGGAAGCTCGCAGGTCCTACAATTGTTTTGCACTTATTCCTTTAATTAGATTATGGCGCCAGAAATCTCCAGTCTCAGGGAGCCCCAGGAGAGTGGTGGGAAACGCTATCACACTGTGGTTTCCTTATCATCTTTAAGGCCAAGATGTCACGTACAGTCCCTCACGTCTCTGTTCTATATTATGATTATTTATTTGCAAACCACCCCTGCCTACAGACTGTGAGTGCCTTTGAATCCTCAGCCCTGGCATGGTTTGCAGCCCACCGTGGCTTAACAAGGACTCCTCAATAGGAGCAGAGAGCACCACAACGAGGACCCCACGGGCACGTCAGCACAGACAAAGGGAAATTTAATTCTGCATGGGATTAGACACAGGCTCTCAGAGGAGGCTGTGGTGAGACTTTCAGGTTGAACAGAGCTTCCGCAGGAAAAGAACCGGGTGTGTTCCGCGCCACGCCAACAATGCGTGAGTGCAGCCAGGGAGACAAAAAGATGAGCACGCACACAGGTCACATGCTCTCCAGTGGGTGCGGTGCACGGGGTGGAGGGGGTGGCGGGAGACAAAGCCAGATAGGCAGGTGTGAGCTGGGCTACAGAGCTCGACACAAAAGCAGTCCCATCAGCACACCATGGCCATGACAAAACCAACCCAATTTAACTTCCAGTGACACTGTTTTTATCTGCTCCTCTCCCAACCCATTATGAAAAGGCAAAGAAAATACCATGTCTAGATTTTTAAGAGGGTGATAAGTTGTGGGGGGGTTCTGGATGGAGAGATTTTGAGAAAGTGAGCTCATTTTCTGTGTGTGTGGTATCAGGGAGCAAGCCCCCGCCCTGTGCCTGCTAAGCACACTCTACCACTGAGCTCCCCCAGCCCCCAGCCTATGTTTGATAAGACTTTTTTGTTTGTTTCAAGTTCCCTCCTCCAACCTTAAAAAGAAGAAATAGAGCACAGGAAACAATCCTTCACCTAACATGAAAACACACACACAAATCTTAGAATGATATACCTTCATTTCCTGTTTTCTACCTTCAATTTTGAGTTAACTTTGTTCTTTTGCTTAGAACTTCAAACAGAAGTTATAAGAATTGTACAAGGAACTCCTGAATATCCTGTACCCAGAGTTACCAATTTTGCCCATTTGCCTTATCATTCTTTGTCTCTATTTAAAAAAATTTTTTTTTCATGTATTTTGGTCATATATTACAGATTGAACCCAGGGTACTCTACCACTGAGCTACATCCCCAGTCCTTTTAATTTTTGAGACAGGTTTTCACTAAGTTGTTTATGTTGGCCTTGAACTTGTGATCTTCCTGCCTTAGCCTCCTGAGTTACTGGGATTAAAGGTGTGTGCCACCACGCCCAGCTTTTTCTCTATTTTTATACACATGCTCTGAACCATTGAAAATAAGATGAAGTATATACCCTTTTCCTCCCAAGTGACTTCAATGTATAAGAACAAGATCGTTCTCTTATATAACCTAAAGTATTAAAAACATCAATATGATCCTATCTAATTAACAATCCATATTCATTTTTTTTTTTAAAGTACTGGGGATTGAATTTATGGGCACTCAACCACTGAACCTTATCCCCAGCCCTATTTTGTATTTTATTTAGAGACAGGGTCTCACTGAGTTGCTCAGCAACTTGATTTTGCTCAGGTTGGCTTTGAACTTGTGATCCTTCTGCCTCAACCTCCCAAGCGACTGGGATTACAGGTGTGAGCCACTGGGCCCAGCTCATATTCAAATTTTGTCAGTTATCCCAACATTGTCCCTTCAAAGTTTTTAGGTTACTATTAATGTATTTGTATTTATACCAAAACATTTCAGTAATATTTATAGTATTGCTACATTTTGTTTACTCACAAATTCTAACATACTTAAAAAGGACAGACTACTAAGAAGCCACAGTAACTATAAGACAAGTCTGAGCAGTCCTTAAGTATATCCCAGAAAGATTCAGGCTCCATAATCAGCCTTCCTAGGATTGGATTCTGGCTCCTTAAGTACTCTATGTTAGATGAACTCTTTTGCTTATTTCTTCAACTATAAAATGGAGATAGTAATCCTCACCCAGTAAGAATAATTAAGGAGAGAATAATTAAGGAGATAATAATAATTAAGTAAGGAGAATTAAATGAGAGAATACATGCTCATATCCAGAATAATATTTTGCATATAGTCTATGCTCACTAATTAATTAACATAAGCATGATCTGAGTTAATGCACTATTGGGCTGAAAGGACCCCAACAGTATCTGAACCACTGGTGGAACTGATATTCAAATCATGAAAAAAACAAAAAGAAGAAAAACACATATCTCCAAATGATCTAATTCCAAACACCAAAAATAAATTAAAAACAAATAAAGCAACAAAAATAAAACTAAGTTTGTATCACCAAGAAAACTGTTTACTAGTAGACTTATCAACAATGTGAGCTCCTTAACTACCAGTGGAGATAGTAATCTGATTCCAGAATGAAAACATTTGAAGATTTAAAAAACAGAGCTAGGGAAAAGGCCACAGTGCCTTTTTAGGGGCCTTACAGAATTTTAGGTCACCATACAACGCATACAATATCAGAGACATTATCATTCAGATTTTGGTTCTCTTGCTAAAGACAAACCAGGAGGGTTTTTTCAACATTGTCAACCATTACATAATTTTCTGACATCAGAAAATTACATGTGAAAAAGACAGTAATATGGAGGGAGGTCATTTAAGGTAACTCAGCTGCTGTTTAAAAGGTAAACTATGTTTCACTAGGACAAAGAAAAAAACGCAGAAGCCCATTGGTTCTTTGAGGCTGTTACTGGAGTTTCTGCCAACTCTGCCCGACTGTACTGCAAGACCATGCTCTCCCTCCGTTCACTAACCCAGGGAAATCTAGACCCGCCCAGCAGAAATGCTGAACCCACATCCTCCTGCTTCTGTAAGCAAAGGTCTGAGCTAATCAGGGTTTAGCATCATCTCCAGCGCAACTGTAGCTGGGGCTGGCTTCTGGCAAATTGTTTCTTCATGGAAACATCAAATGAGTGGAAAAACTCCAAGGAGCAGGACCATCTGCTGCACTATGACAGGCCCTGTGACAAAAGTAATCCATCAAAGCAAAATGTCACGCACACGGAGTTGATCTTGCATTTTCTGCTCTGATAAGAAAAAGGTAAATTCCCCTTGGGGCTTTTGAACAAATAATTTTTTGAAAATAATATGCTTCCAATTTGGGGAACATTTTAATACCTTAGCCAGATGCACTTTTTAATGTTTTGGGTATGTTCAAAATGCTACAACAGTCCTGGAAGCAAATGTGTACCTCATTTGAATTTATAATTTAAATTTTTAAAAGGCCACTCAGGACTGACAATGTGGAGGTTCTGAATGTCTATCCCGAAGCCTCTATCTTCTCATTTACCGCTTACAGGTAAAATGTTACCATTTTCAGTAGCTGAGATTAAAAAAAAAAAAATTGGTGCAATAGTAAAGCAAGTGAAAATTATGGGCTGGGGATAACTCAGCATTAGAGTACTTTCCTACCACTTGAGAGTCTCCATCCCCAGCACTGCAAAAGGAAAAAAAAAAAGTGAAAATTAGATTTTTATATTTTGTGTGTGTTCATGACCTATGCTGTTTTTGCTGCTAATTTAGCATTGGTCCTGTTACAATTGAGGTTCCTGCTGCCCCCAGAAATAGTAGTATCTGTTAGCATGAGAGAGAAAACAGAAATAAACAACAAATATAAACTGTCGAGAATATAATAACAGGCCTTAAAGAATAATTTAAGTACAGCCATGAAAGTCTCATGTTATTTGTTTTGCTGTATATAATTTACTTCTGCTCAATATAATCTCTACCTTCCAGGTACAAAGTGGAGATCCCTGACCAGCCTCTACCTTCCATGGTATCTGGGGCAGGGGCCCAAGAAGCAAACACCACTGATTGCCCGGGCTGCCATTATTTCACAAGCTTCAGCTGAACACATTTCTAAGTCACATTACTCTTCACCAAGGTTTGGTTTTTCTTTAGACCAACAACTCCTATAACATCAGACAGAATCTCATTTCTTACCCTAATGTTCACGTTTTAAAGCTTTACAAGTGTTACATTTCAACAGCAGGAAAAATCCTATTTCCCATAAAAGCAAAGAAATCTCTACCCAAGGAAACCATTTGCCAGTGAAATGAAATGTAAAGCTGATGATATGGGTAATGGTACTCTGAGTTTCCCAGCTTTTTTTCAGTCTTCCTGCATCCAAAGTCCATTTCTAGAATAAACTACATAAACTCTCCAGCAAAAGAATGAATTTGTGCGATGCATAAACATCTAGACCCCGAGTCTTCATAGTATGTTTTTACAGTTTAATATATTGAACCAGAGCTAATGAGATAGTCTTAAGGTATTTTAAGTAGTACATCAGAGACTTCTATTAAATGCAGACTTCCATGCAAAATTCAAACAATCTGCTGTGCTGGGTAGCTTTCAATGAGGGAAATCGAGTATTCTTGGCTTTGAGCCCTATACCAAAACATCTCTTTAATCCTAGAGTGTATCTCAAACACTGTGAACTGCTCCCTACTCTAGAATCCTAATCTCTAAAGGAGATGATCAGATTTTGCACGGAAGCTGGAACGAAGCGACCTGGAACAGGTCACTATTGATTGCTCTACCTGTGCAGGGAGCGGATGGGGCAGGTAACAGGTTGCAAGAAGTCACGAATAAATGCATTCGGGGCCCTGGAGGAACAGGGGGGCTTCCACCTTCTGGCCTGGGTTTACCAACTGCACCTCTCCTCCCTCCAGGGGAAGAGCGGGCCTGCCAGCTTTTTGAAAAGTCAGTTTGTGGGAGAAAACTGCAGGTGGAAGGGAGAAAGCTTGGTGGTGGTGGTGGTGGTGGTGGTGGTGATGGGGGGGGGCGGGGACAACCAGGAACACCCCCCCACCACCGCCAGAAAAGACCCTGGGCGCGAGAGGGCTGGACGGGGGTCCTGACCGCAGCGCCTGGGGGGGGCCCCAGCTCACGGGAGCCCACCCCTCCCAGGCGCCTCCGACGGCCGCTGTTTTCACTTTTAGGGGCCCCGCGCCCCGGCCCGGGCTGCACACCTGCTGGGAGAGGCCCTGCGCCGGCCTCGCGGGGAAGGGGACACTCACCTGCGCGCTCACCGCTGCGGGAGGCAGGACCGAGGCCGGGGCCGCCCGACGGGGCTGCGGGGACCAGGACGCGGCGACCAGCTCGGCCGGGGGCGCACAGACGCCGGGGCCGGGCGGAGGGCAGAGCCGGAGCCGCCGCCACGCCCTCGACGCGGGGAAGCGGCCGCCTCGGCGGGGACGCGGGCGGCGCCTGGGGCCGAGCGCCGCGCGCGCTCCCGGGCCGCGCCCCCTCCTCCTCCCGGGGGGCGGGGGCTCTCCGTGCGCGCACCCGCCCGCGGCTCCCGCCGCTCGCTCCCAGCGCCGGGCCTCGGGCCCTCGCTCCGGGGTGGGGCGCTAAGTGTCCCCGAAAACAGGACCTTTGACGACCTTACCGTCTTCCGCCGTGACCAGCGAGTTTCCCTGTCTCCCGCCGGCCCCTACGACAGTCACAAGGGCCGTTTATAGGAATATTATTCCCGTTTACTCCGCGCCAGTTACTGTGCACCCTGCAGAGCGCCCCGCACCTTCACCTCGTGTAACCTCCCGTAACCAGCCAACCGGATATTACCGTCCCCGCTTTACAGACAGGAGGGGCTCCCAGGTGCTTAATTGCCCGAGGAGCAGAGACTAGGCGGTGGCCGAGCTGTAGAGGGCACCAGGTGTGTGATTAGGTCCCCGGGACTCAACCCTGGCGCGGCGCCCGCTCCTCTTCCTCCTCGTGCTCCCGCCCCTCCCCCTTTCCTTTCCCTCCCTCCTCTTAACTGCTCTTCGCTCTAAACCTTATTACTACATTAATAACATTTACATCTTTAATGCTCTTTTTTGTTGTTGTTGTTTACAAAGCCTTTTTGCGCACAGTCGTGCTTGTCCCCGAAGCACTAGGAGACAGTGGGACCTAATGATGCCTGTCTTGCAGCTGGGAGGAGCCGGGGCCTAGGTTGTTCAGCGTCTTGTCCAGCCCGGGCTGCAGGATTGAGGCGACGCGGGCAGGCATTAGTGCTACAGTTTTACAAAGCAAAGAAGCCCAGTCTGGAGGGGAGCTGGTGTCTCTTCCTTTAGCTCACCGAGAAAGCAAGGGGGTTCGGGGGTTGCGAGCAGGAAAGGAACTTGTCTCAGCTCGGGTCTTCAAAGATACGCAGTAAGAAAAAATCAGCTCTGATCACTCGCTTATGCCCCCTCAGAGGCCAGATAAAGCAAAGTGAAGTTCAAGATCAAGGTGTGTAGCATAGTCCAATTACTGTTACATTTAAAACAAGGGGTTGGTTGCTCCTGGGCACAGTCACACGTGTGTCCAATAGATGACCCCTACTTGCTTTCAGTGGTCTCTGCAGCTTCTGACCTGGGGCTCCTGCTCCATCTTGACTAACCAAGTTCTTCACTTTCATTTATTAACAAGTAATTATTGGAGAGCCTCTTTTGTCAAGATCACTCTAAGAACAGCAGTCATATTTCCTTCTCTACCTTTTTCTAAAACAGCAATTTCTGAAAAAATTGAGTTTTTAAGTCCAATGGTTTTGCACACCGGTGGTTCTATACCCCTGCTTAAGATCCACAATTCCCAGAAATGGTTTTGAGAGATCCTAAGTCAAAAGACCAGAGGGGCCTTGCTTAACTCAGTTTCCCTCCTGTGTTGGGCTGTGTGTTGGTGGTTGACTTGCAAGAATGAGGCCTATACAAATCTGCCCCTCAAGGAGCTCACAGATGGGAGAGACAGCAATTGTGATGTGGGTATATGTGTGTTTGTTAATAGAGACATTTGCAAAGCTCTGCAAAGGAGGAATGGGAGCAATTATACTTGCATAGGTCAGAAAAGGCTTTGAAGTTCAGAAGTTATCTAAGTAGGAATTTTGTAGGTAGAAAAGATGGGTAAGAATATTGCATAGAAATAACTACCTAGAGGCATATAGGATTCTTAGGTTGGTCTTTCTGGTGAGGATTATCAAGTATTATTCAAGATTCTCTTTTTTTGCATGCAGTACAAACTAGGTTAAGCAACAAATGGAATCCATCAACTTGCATAATAGAAGTGTTTAGTGCTTTAGACATGGCTGGATCCAGGTGCTTAAACTTTGACATCAGTATTAATCTTCTCCCCACTTCATGACTCTGCTTTCCTTTGTGTTGATTTTTCACGCTCAAGCTATCTTTCCCCATGAGTGGCAGAATGCTTGCAAATTTGAATCATATTCTTACCAGCAGAGTTTATTTTCCCCATGTAGAATAGAACACAAAACAGGCAAAGGAAAAATCTAGAAACCACCATGGTAGGCAAAGGAAGAGTTGCCATCTTGTACCAGCCAACTAGGTTGTGAGCAACTCGAGACCCAGGGGAGGAGAATGGAATCTTCCACACCCTCTTCTTTCCCGTTGCGGGTGGCCAGGTGACGGTCACACAGTGTGTAACAAATGCTTGTTATGAATGAACTGGACACCGGAGCACATTTCTAATACTCCCTCCCTCCCTCCCCACATCACCGTGAGGCTTGACCTACAGGAAAAGAGAGAGTGAAAGCGATCCCTTGGCTCCATCCACTGAAACCCCTGCCAAGGCTGATAAGCATTTTGCAGTCCTGGAAAACTCAAGAAGCCTCGGTCAGATGATGCTACACATCCTGAGGAGCACAGCTCTTGTCTTGCAGGAAAATTTCCAGACCGGAGATTTCATTTCAGATATTCTTATCCTAACTTGAGTCGGTTTAACGGTCAATACTCTGAAACGTCTTTATTAGATGTGTTAGGCTTGTGCGAGGGAGTAGTGCAAGTACAGAAGGTGGCCACGTCAACTTGAAATATTTTGCTGGTGGGATGGAAAGGGATGGGGCCCAAATTCCACTCCTAGATACATACTCAAAAGAAAGGTGGGTGAATTTCCACTGAGAGAGAGAAAAACAGAGACAGAGACTTAGACAAGAAAGCTCAACATCTTCATCCAGAATATTACCAGATTGGAAACGTCCCCAATATCCATCAACAGAACAATGATAAACTATGGCATATTCAAAAATGGAGTAGTAATATAATAGAAATAAAGAATGTTGAACTTATATACATAACAATATAGATAAATCTAAAAAATATTTATTAAGAAAAAGAATTGGGCTGGGGATGTGGCTCAAGCGGTAGCACGCTTGCCTGGCATGCGTGCAGCCCGGGTTCGATCCTCAGCACCACATACAAAGATGTTGTGTCCGCCGAAAACTAAAATAAATAAATAAATAAATATTTAAAAAGAAAAAGAATTACCTACGTACCCAAGGGTCTAGATGTCTGATTCCATTTACATGAAGTTCAAGAAGAGGCCAAAGTACTCTGATGATAAGCATCAGAACCGTGGTTGCTTCTGAGGAGTGGGGATTGATCAGAAAGGGCACAAGGAAACATCCAGGGCTGGTGGAAATGTTCTTTTCATGCCAACGAAATATAAGCCTTAAATATAGCTAATGACAGGTCCGAGGAGCTATCTTTTCACCTCATTTTTTTAGTGGCTGGACAGAGGCAGCAGAATGCTTCATGGAGTCGGGTGTATCATCAACCATGTGTCCTTTGAGCAAGTTCTTTAACCCATTGAGCCTTACTTTTCTCATATGTTAAATAGAATTGATGAGAACTTGCCTTGTAGGGTTGTTTTATAAATACCAGACACATTAGGATGCCCAGTGAGCATTAAAGGGTTTATAACGTTTACAGGTTAAATTTTATTATTATTATTATTTTTACCCAACAAGATATGAGCAAAAGAAAACTGTCTTAAATGGAAGAGGCACCGCTTCCTTTTTTTTCTAGCCTACCAAAGTGACCATGATGCGTGGAGCTTCAGCAGCCATTTGGGACCAGAGAGTAACCTTGAAGGTGGCAGCCACATGTTGGAATGATGGAACAGAATGATGCGGAGCCTGGGTCCCTTGTGACACCAGAGCTGCCCTACGAGCCCTGGGTTGCCTACATCTAGGCTGCCTTTACCTGGGAGAGAAACATTTCCGTATCTTATTAGGTGTCTGTTGCAACCAAACATCATCCCAGCTGATATACCCTGATAAGTAACCCTGTAGCTCCTGTACTACTTCTTCACAGCACCTATCACAGTTATAGTTAAGAGGATCATTATGCAATAATGGATATTGCCCAAGTCCCCAACTAGAATAGGTGCAGGGACTAGTTTGTTCACTCATGAGTCCCAGATATATATGTAAATAGTAAGTGCTCAGTAAACGTGGAAGAGAGCGAGGGAGTGAACAGCTGCTGCTGACTATGAGAAATCCCCTCAGGAGAAACCACGGCGTGGGAAAGGAAGAAGGCAGAAGCCAGAACCCAACCTGCTTCAACTCTGCCAGGTTTTCTTTGCCTTGGCCTTCATCTTTCTCCCATCAATGGGCACCTGGATGTGTGGATATTTAAACTCATGGTCTTGGGCTGGGGATGTGGCTCAAGCGGTAGCGCGCTCGCCTGGCATGCGTGCGGCCTGGGTTCGATCCTCAGCACCACATACAAACAAAGATGTTGTGTCTGCCGAAAACTAAAAAATAAATATTAAAAATAAATAAATAAACTCATGGTCTGCCACCCACTCTAGACCTCCCCTGGGATTCGTCTCATAGATGGTATGTTTTCCCAAAGAGCCTTCCATCAGCCAGCTTCCCTGGTAGTCCCCTCCTGTGTCCCCCAGGCAGCGAGGAAGGCCAACCAGTTGTTTGCAGGATTCGACAGTCTGTCATCACCACCGAGTTCAACATGGGTTGGGAGATGAATGGTGTCCATTTTTGAGTTTTGCACCTTCTCACTACAAAACTGGACTTGGTTCTGTAGGTAATTTGAAAGCAAAAGCATAAATAAGAAAATTAAAGTCAGCTTCACTCCTATGATCCAGAGATAGTCTCTATTCAGTATTTTCATATTTCCTTCCAATCTGAAGATTAGGTTTCTCATTGGAGTCAGTGAATTTGGATCTCCTGTCTATTTGGTCACATGAGATTACAAGAATATCCTGTGTTTCAAAACGTATTTTAAAGGGTTTTTAAACGATCTAAAATTACAGTGATGAATACATATTATGTAATGTTACATAGTATTACAATATTGGCAATTATTGTGTGTGCTCTTTGACTTTTTGAACTATTCCCTTATTTTTAGAATCAAGATTTCTTTCAAAATTTCCTTCTCTAACTAACGCTACAACGAATGCCTTTATACGTAAACACAATATTGCCCTTCTGTTTATTTCCTTAGCATGGAGCCCAGCGGAGGTTGCTAGGTAGAAGGGCATGAAGCTTTAAAAACTCCCGTGGAAAAAATCACAAAGTGCACTTTGGAAAGGTGCTGGAACGGTCCCTCCCACATCCTCAACCTAAATCTCACACATCCTCAATAATACTGAGAGCTGCGTTTAATTCTGAAAGGCTTGTCCTGTTCAATGGGCCACAGACAAAAACAACCGGCCAACCAAACGAAAAAGCCATGGCATCTTGATTATTAGGAGAATAGCCTTTTTCTGTGTGGGCATCATTTGAAAAGTGCCCAGCTC